TTGAAAGATTCCTTCTGATTTGTGGCTGTCTTACAATTCAAAACATATTTATAAAGTATTCTTTTTACATTACAATATAAGTTACTCTTCATTAATTTATGTTTCTTAAAAAAATTGGTTAAAATGTTACTTTTTTTAAAATTTTACATCTTTTTAATTGTGCTATTGCGTATAATAAATATAACATTTGACTTTTCAAAACACTCTCATTAATTATTGAATAAAATAAGGGATAATTGAAAAACCATGTATAACACCTCCCTAATTTCCTACTATATTTTAAATAAGTAGAATTAAAAAAAAAATGCCTTATATTGTAGTCTGAAAAAAGTAGCTGTAAATTAATGAGATCCTCATATCAGAATTCATGTCCTTGAACAATTTGAATCTCATTTTTACTAAATGCATATGCATGAATAAACTTTGTTAAATTTTAATTGTTTTTATTAGTCTACTATAAATAAAATAATTCGTTTTGATCTATTGAAAAGTTTTTCTTTGGGTTAATTTAATCTATTGCATTCGAGTTTTAGTTTTACTAACATGTCATTGATAATAATAAAAAAAATATGTATCATTTTTTATTTACATTATTATTTGTTTATGATTAGCATTATGAATAAATGTCATTTGCGAGTTTAAATTAGCATATTCATTGATTCTTAAAAACATGGTCCACAATAAACATCCCAATCTAAACCCCAACCTCCCCACCGGAAGGTCAATGAAATAAAAATGTCAACACACTGTCATTTTGTCATAAGTTGATTTTTTTTTTAATCACCCACAAATATTGTCTTGCTAGAATTAGTTTTGCGGCATTATCATATATTAAATTGAATATCAATTTATGACGTTATAAAAAATTAACTTCTTTTATTGACCTCATCTTTATTGGTATCATCATGAGCCGCCGCCGCCAACGTCAAAGCCTTGTGTCATTTCATATCGTGGGAGAGAGAGGATGATTGATGATAATTTCCTTGGCAATTATGTGTGGGTTTGGTTTTTAATTTATTAAAAATTTATTTAATAAAAATTTATTTAATAAAATTAGTTATTATAATAAAATTTATATTTAATTATATTTTTTTAAAATTCAATTTGATACATTGAAAGTTATTTGGTTTATGATAGTAAAATGTGCTTTAAATATACAATTACTAAAAAGAATATTAATTTATAATGATTTATAATTTTTATTATACAAATATAATATATTTAAAATATTTAAAAAAAATATAATAAAGATTTTTAATAATATAAATTTTGATCTATAATGCTAAAAATTTGATCTCCAATTATTTGTATTTTTTAATTTATAATTTTAAAAGATGTAATAAATATTTGTAATTTTGTTATACATTAATGCTAAAATTAACATGATTAATTACTCAATTTATAATACTAAAAAATTGATACCTAATTATTATTATTAAAATAATAATTATATTTTTTAATGAATTAACTATTTTTAAAATAAAAGAATAAGAGATTAAACTTAAAGTAGTATGGTCAAATAGCATCTTACTTTTCAAATTCACTTTTTAAAAGCTTCAAATAGTACGGTTCAGAAATTCACTTTCAACTATTGTTTAAATGTACTTTCAGGATGTGCTTTCCTATAAATGTTCTACCCAAATAACTTTCAACTTTTTGAAAATAAAATTTTGCTTTCTGAATGTGAAATGAAGGAAAACTAAACGGACCCTATATCATGAGCCGTTTTGCCAACTAATAGGTGGAATTTACTTATTGATTATTATAAATTGGATTTTGCAAACTAAGTTGCTAATTAACATATTTATTGGCTTTTCGAACACATGGTCCATGATAATACCCTAATCTTCACGCAGTGTTTGGTTTACAAGAAAAAAACGAGAGAAAATAGGGGAAGAAAAAATATAAAGCAAAAAAAGTAAAGAGATACAGTTTTTCCTCACAATGGTTGATTGAACAAGAGAAAACAAGAAAAAATAAAAATTATTAATTTTATATGGACAATAATAATCTTATTATTTGTATAAAAATATTTATATATGATTAAACTTTATGTTTTAGCATATTATTTATTTATTTTTCATTATATATTACTAATTGAATGAAAAGATAATTGAAAATTATTTTGTCCAATTTTCAATTTTATTTCTAAAATTATCAAACATACAATATTCTAAAAATTTTAAATTAAAACCAAATATAAGAAAATGGGGAGGTAGGGAGCAGGAAACGAAAACCATTTGTAGGTAAATTTGAAAATGAAGTTTTTTCTTTAAAATTTCTTAATTTTTAGAGGAAAGAATTTGGGGAAGTGACATGGAAAAAAGTTGTAGGAAAAATATATTAGTCTTGTATGTTATTTTCTTTCCAATTTTCACTTCCTCCTATTTTTTTTTCCTTTTTTTAGCCAAGCTGAGTTAAATTAGTTTCCTCTCACTATTCTCCCCCATTTTTCTTCTTGCCTACTAAGCATAGACTTAAGGCCATGTGAAGAAGTTTGGAGACCTAATACGAAATTATTATAGAGGGTTAATGTGCTACTCCTTCTATTAAAAAATGTAAAATATTTTTAACCAAATCTTATTCCTAATAAAGTAGTTATTTATTTTAAAACTAATTCTATTTTTTCATATTTACCCTTATTAAATACCTTACGATAAAAATAAAGTCATTATCAATAGGGGTACTTTTGAAAAAAATGCAATAATTACACCTCAAATGACTAAAAATATCTTTTATTTTTTAATATCTAATTTTTTAAAAAATGCTTTATATTTTTGAACGGAGGGAATATAATTTATGAATTATACAATTATCATTATGGCTAGTTTAATTACATTCATTTCAATCTTTTTTTAAATTTCAAAGCATATGCAAGGCCATTTTTTCTCTCTAGCTTTCTAATAAATGAGTGATAAGATTTCACTAATAGAAACAACAAATAATATATCATATAGTCCTAGTATATCATACTATAATTAAGATCATAATATTAATTAATTTCTATTAGAAAAGATCAATAGATTCCCTGTATAATAAATAATTTTTTTGTGAGGCCTAAGGTGATTGCCTTAATGGCCAGAGATAAACATGACCTCGATAGTATTAGTAAATAAGTCTATGATGCCTCCAACAAGATTTCTCAAAGTTTGAGCAAAGGCAATTTTTTTAGTAATGAGGTTGATAGCTTCAAATGAATTACTAGAATTAAATTAAGATCTTCCAAGATACCATTCATAATCTCCACTATATATCTTTTTGACTAGGAATAATGGTAATGATAATGATGATAATGAAGAAGATAATAAATCTCTTAAGTAAAAAAATAATATTTTTTGTCTTGTTCATTTTTTTTTTTTGGAGTAACCACTAAACCAACCCAATAATCTTAGTTGTTATGATAAACACGTTAACTAATTTTGGTGGTTCATTAATTGTTGTTCCTCACTTTCTCTTAAAAGACATTTCGTGCACTCCATTGTGGTTTTCCTCTCTAAGTTTTACCAATCTTATGATATCATAATCATAGTCATAATCATTATCAAAATTCTGTTGCTTTTATATATGTTCTTCAAATGTACTCTATAATGTATATTATATTTTTCTCACTTGCCACACGAGCATCATAAAAAAAAAAAAAGAACTCCAGAGTCATTAATTTTTTCGATAGAAAAATAATTGATTCATCTTTTTATCATTCAACTAATTTAAGCAAATTCATATTTTCCCAGTAAAAATATGAAAAATAAAACCAACAAATTAATTTTTCAATCAAAGCAATAATAAGAATTTAGGTATGCAAATTATAGGTTGACCAGCAAGATACTTAATATTTCCTCTATCTCATTTTATAATATTTTTTAGGCTAAAATTGTGAATATCAATGAAGTCAGTTAGATATAACCTAGAATCTTATTTTTTTAAAAAAAATATAAACTTTTAAAAATGTGAGTTAATTTTAAAACAAATTTTATTAATCAATTATTATTTTTTCAAAACATCTTACCTTATATTATACAACATCAAATCATTCAAACAAAATATGCCTTATAAA